GGGAAAATTGGGAAAAACAACAGGAAAAATGGGAAAAACAATGGGAAAAACCCGGGAAAGAGCGGTGAGGAGGCTGCTGCTCTGGAATCCTGCGGAAACCTGGGAAAAACAACCGGAAAAATGGTGAAAACAACCGGAAAAACAGCCGGAAAAATGGGGAAAACAACCAGAAAAACAATGGGAAAAACAACCGGAAAAACAACCGGGAAATGGGAAAATTGGAAAAAAACAACAGGAAAAATGGGAAAGACAACCAGAATCTGGAATCCCGCCGAAACCTGGGAAAAACAACCGGAAAAATGGGAAAAACAACCGGAAACCTGGGAAAAACAACCAGAAAAACAATGGGGAAAACAACCGGATAAACAACCAGAAAAATGGGAAAAAACTGAGAAACATGGGAAAATTGGGAGAAACAACGGGAAAAATGGGAAAAACAATGGGAAAAACGGGAAAAATAACTGGAAAAACAACCGGAAAAATGGGAAAAACAACCGGAAAAACAATGGGAAAAACAACCGGAAAAACAATGGGAAAAACAACCGGAAAAACAATGGGAAAAACAACCGGAAAAACAATGGGAAAAACAACCGGAAAAACAATGGGAAAAACAACCGGAAAAACAATGGGAAAAACAACCGGAAAAACAACTGGAAAAATCCGGGAAAGAGCTGTGATTTATTAACGATTGCAATTCTATTGATTGATTTCTAATTGTTATTTATTAATGAGTGCAGTTGTTTTGATCCATTTCTAATTGTTATTAATTAATGATTGCAATTTTATTGATTAATTTCTAATTGTTTATTAATGATTGCAATTTTATTGATTGACTTCTAATTATTATTTATTAATGGTGCAATTTTATTGATCGATTTTTAATTGTTATAAATTAATTATTTCAATTTTATTGATTGATTTCTAATTCTTATTTATTAATGAGTGCAGTTGTTTTGATCCATTTCTAATTGTTATTAATTAATGATTGCAATTTTATTGATTAATTTCTAATTGTTTATTAATGATTGCAATTTTATTGATTGACTTCTAATTATTATTTATTAATGGTGCAATTTTATTGATCGATTTTTAATTGTTATAAATTAATTATTTCAATTTTATTGATTGATTTCTAATTCTTATTTATTAATGAGTGCAGTTGTTTTGATCCATTTCTAATTGTTATTAATTAATGACTGCAATTTTATTAATTAATTACTAATTGTTATTAATGATTTCAATTTTATTGATCCATTTCTAATTGTTATTTATTAATGAGTGCAATTTTATTGATTAATTACTAATTGTTATTAATTAATGATTTCTATTTTATTGATAGATTTCTAATTGTTATTTATTAAGGAGTGTGACTTTATTGATTAATTTCTAATTTTTATTTATTAATGATGCAATTTTATTGATTAATTTCTATTGGTTATTTATTAACGAGTGCAATTTTATTGATGATTTTCTAATTGCTATTAAGTGCAATTTTTTTGATTAATTTCTAATTGTTCGTTATTAATGATGCAATTTTATTGATTAATTTGGAATTATTTATTAATGATTTCAATTTTATTGATGGATTTCTAATTGTTATTAATTAAGGAGTGTGATTTTATTGATTAATTACTAATGGCAATTCCGGCGGGAGGGAATTCCCGGCGTTTCCCACCTGGAGCAGGGATTTCAGGAGCGTCAGCTGCGTCAGCCGGGTCCGGTTCTCCCTGGAAAAGGGAGAAATCCCAAATTCCCAAATGAATTCCTGGAAATCCCAAATAAATCCCGAATAAATCCTGAATAAATCCCAAATAAATCCCTAATAAATCCCGAATAAATCCCGAATAAATCCCAAATAAATCCCTAATAAATCCCGAATAAATCCCGAATAAATCCCAAATAAATCCCAAATAAATCCCGAATAAATCCCGAATAAATCCCAAATAAATCCCAAATAAATCCCAAAAAAAATCCCAAATAAATCCCAAATAAATCCCAAATAAATCCCAAATAAATCCCCCAAAAAATCTCCCCAGAAATCCCAAATTCCCAAATGAATCCCAAATAAATCCCAAATAAATCCCGAATAAATCCCCAAAAAATCCCAAATAAATCCCGAATAAATCCCAAATAAATCCCCAAATAAATCCCCAAAAAAATCTCCCCAGAAATCCCAAATTCCCAAATGAATTCCTGGAAATCCCAAACAAATCCTGAATAAATCCCGAATAAATCCCCAAATAAATCCCAAATAAATCCCGAATAAATCCCCCCAAAAATCCCAAATAAATCCCAAATAAATCCCCAAATAAATCCCAAAAAAATCCCCCCCAAAAATCCCAAATTCCCAAAACAATCCCAAATAAAATCCCAAAAAAATCCTCAGAAATTCAAAAAATTCCTCCAAAATTCCAAAAAAATCCCCAAAAATCCCAAAATTCCCCAAATCCCCCCCCCCAAAATCCTTAAAAATGAAAAAAATCCAAAATTCCCCCCCAAAAAATCCTCCAAAATCCCTAAAAATCTCCCAGTCCCAAAAATTTGGGAATTCTGGGAATTCCAGGAATTTGGGAATTTTGGGAATTCTGGGAATTTGGGAATTATTCCAGACTTATTTGGGAATTATTCAGGAATTTTGGGGAATTTTGGGGGGGGAATTTGGGATTTCCGGGAATTCCGGGGATTTGGGGAGTTTGGGGATTTTGGGAATTCCGGGAATTCTCCGGGAATGTCGCTGGCTCACCGCTGGGCTCCGGGCTCCAGGGAATGCCGGGAGTCGGGAATGGGAATTTTGTTGATGATGAAAAGCATCACCTCGGAACGCTGGTACGGCGGCAGCCGCGACGAGAACGAACCTGGCAACAGCCGGAATGAGAACAACAGCCGGAATGAGAACAACAACAGCCGGAATGAGAACAGTCGGAATAACAACAAGAGTCAGAGTGAGAACAACAGCCGGAATGAGAACAACAGCCGGAATAACAACGGGAACGGGAATGAGAACAACAACAGCCGGAATGAGAACAACAGCCGGAATAACAATGGGAACGGGAATGAGAACAACAACAGCTGGAATAACAACAACAGCCGGAATAACAACAACAGCCGGAATGAGAACAACAACAGCCGGAATGAGAACAACAGACGGAATAACAACGGGAACAGGAATGAGAACAACAGCCAGAACAACAACAGCCGGAATGAGAACAACAGCTGGAATGAGAACAACAACAGCCAGAACAACAACAGCCGGAATGAGAACAACAGCCGGAATCAGAACAACAACAGCCGGAATGAGAACAACAGCCGGAATAACAACGGGAACAGGAATGAGAACAACAACAGCCAGAACAACAGCCGGAATGATAACAACAGCTGGAATGAGAACAACAACAGCCGGAATTATAACAACAACAGCCGGAATGAGAACAGCCGGAAAAACAACAACAGCCGGAATGAGAACAACAGCCGGAATGAGAACAGCCGGAAAAACAACAACAGCCAGAATGAGAACAACAGCCGGAATGAGAACAACAACAGCCGGAATGAGAACAGCCGGAATAACAACAACAACAGCCGGAATGAGAACAGCCGGAATAACAACAACAACAGCCGGAATGAGAACAACAGCCGGAATAACAACGGGAACGGGAACGAGAACAACAACAGCCAGAACAACAACAGCCGGAATGAGAACAACAGCCAGAATGAGAACAGCCGGAAAAACAACAACAGCCGTAATGACGACAGCTGGAATAACAGGAATAACAACAACAGGTGGAATAATGACAAGAGCTGGAATGACAACAGCCGGAATAACAAGAACAGCCGGAATAATGACAACAGCAGCCGGAATAATGACAACAGTCGGAACGACAACGGGAATAACGGGAATAACAACAGCTGGAATGACAACGGGAATAACAGCAACAGCCGGAATAACAACAGGAATAACAACAGCCGGAATAACAACGACAGCCGGAATAACGGGAATGACAGCGGGAATGGGAATGATGGGAATGGTGGGAAAGGGGAAATGGGGGAACGGGAATGATGGGAAAGACAAGGACGGGAATAACGGGAATGATGGGAATGGGATGGGAATGATGGGAATGGGAATGGGAATGATGGGAATGGGATGGGAATGATGGGAATGGGAATGATGGGAATGATGGGAATGGGAATGGGAATGATGGGAATGGGATGGGAATGATGGGAATGGGATGGGAATGATGGGAATGATGGGAATGGGATGGGAATGATGGGAATGGGATGGGAATGATGGGAATGATGGGAATGGGATGGGAATGATGGGAAAGATGAGGATGGGAGAAAAAGGAATGGTGGGAATGGGAATGGGAATGGGAATGGGAATGGGAATGGTGGGAATGGTGGGAAAGGGGAAATGGGGGAACGGGAATGATGGGAAAGACAAGGACGGGAATAACGGGAATGATGGGAATGGCGGGATTCGTTGGAATGGGGAAATGGGAATGGGAATAACGGGAATGACGGGAATGATGGGAATGGGATGGGAATGATGGGAATGGGAATGGGAATGATGGGAATGGGATGGGAATGATGGGAATGGGATGGGAATGATGGGAATGATGGGAATGATGGGAATGGGATGGGAATGATGGGAAAGACGAGGATGGGAGAAAAAGGAATGGTGGGAATGGGAATGGGAATGGGAATGGTGGGAATGATGGGAATGGGAATGGGAATGGGAATGGGAATGGTGGGAATGATGGGAAAGATGAGGATGGGAATGATGGGAATGGGGAAATGTGGGAATGAGGGAATGGTGGGAATGGGAATGATGGGATTAGTGGGAATGGGGGAATGGGGAAGGGAATTATGGGAAAGGTGAGGATGGGAAAAAAAGGAATAACGGGAATAATGGGAATAATGGGAATGTGGGAATGATGGGAAATGGGAATGGAAAAACAGGGAAAATAATAATAAAAAAAAATCCCCCCAAAATCCCAGAAAATCCCACAAAAATCCCAGGAAACTCCCAGAAAATCCCACAAAAATCCCAGGAAACACAAAAATATTCCCAGAAAATCCCAAAATAATCCCAGAAATTCTCACAAAAATCCCAGGAAAATCCCAGTAAATCCCTGAAAAAATCCAGAAAATAATAATAAAAAAGAAAAATCCCAGGAAACTCCCAGAAAATCCCACAAAAATCCCAGAAAATAAAGGGAAAATCTCAGAAAAATACCAAAAAATATCCCAGAAAAATCCCAGAATATAAAAAACAATTCCCAGAAAATCAAAAAAAATTCCCAGAAAATCCAAAAAAAATCCCTGAAAATCCAAAAGGAAACCCAGAAAATAAAGGGAAAAAATCTCAGAAAAATCCCATAAAATCCAAAAAAATTCCCAGAAAATAAAAAAAAAATCCCCCAAAAAATCCCAGAAAATAAATAAAAAAATCCCAGAAAAGTCCCAGAATATAAAAAAAATTCCCAGAAAATCAAAAAAAATTCCCAGAAAATCCAAAAAGAAACCCAGAAAATAAAGGAGAAAAATCTCAGAAAATTCCCAGAAAATCCCACAAAAATCCCAGAAAAAAAAAAAAAATCCCCCAAAAATCCCAGAAAATAAAAAAAAATCCCAGAAAATTCCAGAAAAGTCCCAGAATATAAAAAAAATCCCAGAAAATAAAAAAAATTCCCAGAAAATCCAAAAAGAAACCCAGAAAATAAAAAGAAAAAATCTCAGAAAAATCCCATAAAATCCCACAAAAATCCCAGAAAATCAAAAAAAAAATTCCCAGAAAATAAAAAAAAATCCCAGAAAATTCCAAAAAATCCCAAGAAAATTAAAAAAAAAAAAAAATCCCAGAAAATAAAAAAAAATTCCCCGAAAATAAAAAAAAAATCCCAGAAAATCCAAAAAAAATCCCAGAAAATCCAAAAAAATTCCAGAAAATAAAAAAAAATCCCAGAATATTAAAAAAAAATTCCCAGAAAACAAAAAAAAATTCCCAGAAAATCCAAAAAAATCCCAGAAAATCCAAAAAAATTCCAGAAAATAAAAAAAAATCCCAGAATATTAAAAAAAAATTCCCAGAAAACAAAAAAAAATTCCCAGAAAATCCAAAAAAATCCCAGAAAATCCAAAAAAATTCCAGAAAATAAAAAAAAATCCCAGAATATTAAAAAAAAATTCCCAGAAAACAAAAAAAAATTCCCAGAAAATCCAAAAAAATCCCAGAAAATCCAAAAAAATTCCAGAAAATAAAAAAAAATCCCAGAATATTAAAAAAAAATTCCCAGAAAACAAAAAAAAATTCCCAGAAAATCCAAAAAAATCCCAGAAAATCCAAAAAAATTCCAGAAAACAAAAAAAAATTCCCAGACAATCCAAAAAATCCCAGAAAATCAAAAAAGAAACCCAGAAAATAAAGGGAAAAAATCTCAGAAAAATCCCATAAAATCCCACAAAAATCCCAGAAAATCAAAAAAAATTTCCCAGAAAATCCCTGAAAAATCCCAGAATATCAAAAAAAAATCCCAGAAAATCCCAAAAAATTCCAGAAAATAAAAAAAAAATCCCAGAAAATTCCCAGAAAATCCCACAAAAATTCCAGAAAATCCAAAAAAAAATCCCAGAAAATAAAAAAAAATTCCTAGAAAATCCAAAAAAAACCCCAGAAAATCCAAAAAAAATCCCAGAAAATCCAAAAAAATTCCAGAAAATAAAAAAAAAAATCCCAGAAAATAAAAAAAAATTCCTAGAAAATCCAAAAAAAACCCCAGAAAATCCAAAAAAAAATCCCAGAAAATCCCCAAAAATCCCCAGAATTCCCAGAAACGCCCCGAATTCCCCGGAATTGCGGTGTCTCACCGATGGTTTTGATGACGGCCTCCTGCAGGAGCCGCTCCTGGCGCAGCCGGGGCTCGGAGCCGGGCCCGGGGCTGAGCTGGGAGCTGAGCTCGGCGCTGAGGCGGAGCTGCCGCAGGAGCGTGTTGAACACTTCCAGCACCGTGGGGCCTGCAAAAAACCGGGAATGGGAGCCGGGATCAGCCCGGAATCAGGCCGGAATTATCCTGGAATTATCCCGGGATTATTGTGGAATTATCC